GTGTCCCCTGTTTGTCAGGCCCTGCTACACCTAAATGAAAGATTTGAAACCTGTATGTTTCAGAAATGCAGGAAAAATTATTTGTGGAGAACTCAGAGCTGTTTCCAAAGCTGAAGAAGCAGGAAAAGGGTGTGAGCTGAGCCCATCTCTGCTGAGGCGGTGTGCGACTCAGGAGGGAAGAAGGCATGACATGACACCTTTAATTTCATCGCTGCTTTTATGTTCATCAAGACATTGGTGATGGAGTGATAGAATCAAATACCTGTTTTTCATAACCCTGGACTGTATTCTTGACAAACATCAAAGGCAACACCTCGCTGGGTATGGTTCTTGCTAGCAGTTCCTGCTAGTGTTGTGTGTCCAGAGGCTCAGTGCCGTGAAGCCAGGAGGGTTTGCTCAGCAATAGGTGCCCTTGGCAGTGCCTGGCAGGTGTTGACGCTTTCCCTGCTCTGTCTTACTCTGGCCTTTGGGCGGGATTTCCATGCTATGGACCGAACATTGTGTCTGTAAAGCACAGCCAGGCTTCTGTCCCCCACCCCTTTGTAGCAGAGATGTTCCTTAGTCATTTGGTAACAAATAGGGATAGCAGGACACCAGCCATTTTCATCAAGTCCTCAGAAAGACCTGAAGTGCTGAAGAAAATCTGCAAAGACTGAATTAGGACTTTTTTTCCCCTCAGGCTAATTTCAAGCCTCTTCTACCAAATGGTCTATATCAAAACTTCATCCTCTCCCATCCGGGTATGTGCTGCCTGTGCTCTGTTCCTGCGCCGGCCCCGCGAGTAGGCAGGGCATGGAGATGCAGTGAAGAGCCTGTTTTATCCAAGGAAGGGAATTCCTTTTTATATTTCAATATCCTGTCTGCTCCTGGGCCCTGGGTTGTGCCTGGGAAGCAACCGTGCCTGCAAACTGGAGCCGTGTCAGCACGTCTGGTTATTCAGGCTTGCGCGCTGGAGATGCCTCTGTCTGTCTCCCGGCAGGGTGAAGCACTAGCAGGACAGTGCCTGGCAGAAAACCAAGAGGCGCAGGCGCTCTCCTTGAGAAGATGGATGCTTTCCCCCATTGCCCATGTGGAGGAGGAGCGATTTGTGCTGTCCCCTCAAGTTGAGCAAGGGAAGGAGCTTTGCCCACGGCCTCTGCCAGTTTTCCCACTGGAAAGGGATCCAGCCCGGCCCCTTCTGTGGGGCCAGCAAAGCGGCAGCTTCTGCAGCCTGCACCGGTGCTGGAGTGTGTGGTGGTGCCAAGAAATTTGGAGCAAAGGAAGCATTACCGCATGGAGTGGCAGTGTGTTCCTGCCCTGAAATTACAGTGGGATACTCTGCAGAGCTGTGGATCTGTCTGCATGTCGTCCTGGCGTGTACATCCATAGTGTCCGGACTGTGGACATCGTGCTCTTCTTCCGCTGCTGTTGCTTTTCCATCTGTTCATTCACAGAGAAGCAAATTAATGTTTCTCCTCTGCGCAGCCCATAGAGGGAAGGAAGGCCCTCATGTTGATTTTTGCCCATCTGTTGGGATTTAGTCTTTAAAACAATGAAAAAAGAAATGGAAAGCTCATTTACTGAACTGAAATATCTGTCTCTGCCTCTGCCCAGGGATGAATTTGACCCCCAACCTTTCCCATTTCTCTTGGCCAAAAACCCCCATAGTTGTACGAGGCAGAAAATTAGTAGGATGGCTTGTTGTAAGAGTGTCTGATTAATGAAGTCTTACGGAATATTGTTAAACATCTGGTGAACGTACATTTTTGCATGTTAATATTTTGATTTTTGTCCTTGGTGCAAATGCATGTCTCGAAGGCATGATCTGCTCTTCAGGAGAACACCACTGCCAAGTCTAATTCTTTTTTCCACCACCGAAATATGTGGAGACCAGCAGTGCTGCCAGATGTGCAAAGTCTGCAATGCGGCATGAGCGCAGGGCATGGTTTGGTTTGCCGGTTGGTCCTGGGCGTCTTTCTGGGATGGATGGCTTTCCTGCAGCTTGCTGCTGGGACCACCTGGTTCTCCTTATGATAAGGCTAGCTTAGGGGAAAATGGTTCCCTTGCTGGGGCACCAGGCATTCCTACTGCAAGAACAGATGGAAATCAGCTGCAATGGATTTCCTGTTTTTTAAAATACCCACATTTCCACTGCAGGGGGTGGCCGTCCTGCAGGAAGGAGGTATGCTTTGGCATGAGCGGGGCAGAAGCCTGTGGTAGAAGCTTCTTGGATTTTTCCAACCTGGTGAAGATTTGTTACCCTGGGTGAAATGCTGTTAAGGCAGGTTGTGCACTGCTCCATCCACAGGCTGTCAGCACTGGGAATGCCTCCAGCCCGAAGCCAAGGTGCCGACTGACATGTAGTTGCTCTTAAATTGTAATTCATTCATCATGACAAAGGCTGGTGGCCTTCTAATCTGCTGGTTTTGGGGATGGAGATGCATGTTTTAGTGAGCGTTTGTGCAGGTGATTTTTATGCAGTATTTTGCAGGACTATGGTTTATTGTTCCCCTTGGCCTGCCTGGCAGCATTTTTAACCTCACTGCCTTAATCTCCGCTCCATCAGAATGGTTGCTGTTGAGTTTTTCTGTCCTCCCTCAGAATTGGAGGGTTTGTTTTCATTTTTCCTGGTGTTTTGTAACTTCTCCTAGGGCAAAGCTCAGCTTCACTTCCCCCACCTTCTCCCAAAATGCAAAACTCAGGCATTTTTCCCAAAGCTAGGAATGCTTTGTAGGGAGCTGAACTCATCTCCTTTGGTGGTGAGAGGTGGGATGTCTCGCTGTGTCTTTGGCTGTGCAAAGAGCACGGAGCTGCTCTAGCAAATAGCAAACCAGCAGGGGCTTATCTGCCCCTCCCTAACATTCTTTCAACACAGTTTTTCTTTCTAGTGGGAGTATTTTTTTTTTTTTTTTTTTTCACTTTTTGAGTTGCTATGTCCTTCTGAACCCTCTCCCCAACTTCTCCATGGAGTTAGCACTTGCAGCTCGCCAAGGAAGAGAGCAGTGCATTATCCATCACGGGAACCTGGCACCCTTCGGATGTAATTCACTTGTGGACCGTTAAACATTTTCTCAGCTGTGCTTCAGTGTCAGTAGCAGAAGATCTTTTCATTCTTCTTCACCCCCACTGTCTGCACTCTGATGACAAGTATCTGGGGAAATCTGTTTTTGTGAAACACTTGACATATAGCATGACTTTCCTGTCCTAGCAGTTCATGTCAGAGAGCCTTTAAACTTCCTCTAGTAATGTGATGTTTTTTTTTTTCTTTGCAGCTTGTCACAGTTGCTGCCCCTCATCTGCAGAAGGATAGGAAGGCAAAGATTGGAAGTGAACTTAAAACGTGCTATTTTTCAGTTTGCTCATCCCTTTATTTGCTGGAGGAGCAGTGACAAACTGATTACACTGATACTTCAGTGTAGGGAGCTGGAGGTGAATAGCAGTGCTGCGGTTCTTTCAACAGCTGGGACAAAGGAGAAATAAATATAGATTGATTTCTCCTGGAGCTGTGCTGGGATTGTAGCTCTCCCAGAGCAATTTAGTCTTTGCAGTTACCAGTCTGAATGTGGCTAGAAAAGAAAAAGTCAATAGCTGGAGCAGTCCGTGTCAGCTGGGAGCGGAGCAGGCAGCAGAGGAGTTGCAGGATCCTGGCTCTGCCCCAGCTCTGCTCCTCGATGGAGCTCAGGTGCTGGGAGGTGGGGGGGATCCCTCCCTGGTGGGCTCCCCACGGCTGCCCCAGGGATGCTGGGGTGCTCTAGTCTCGGGTCAGGAGTGACCTGATGTCTCCAAGCTTGGGACTGAACTGCTGCTCTGGCGAGAGCTGTTCCCTGCCAGGGAAGGGGAAGGAGGTGTTTGCTGCCAGCCCTGCTGGGCAGCGCTGGGCTCACGCTGTGGGAGGGTGGCAGGGACCCAGGGCCATCTTCCCCCGGGGCTTCAGCACCTGCACTGCCCTGCAGGTTTTGGCAATGTTGCGCTGGAGAAACATGCCTTCTTTTTAAAAAGTGATGTGTCTTAGAAATGAGACACTGTTGTTTGCTTTTAAATCTGTTCTTCCACTTCATACCAGTCTGGCTAGCCATGGAGAGGGTGTCTTTCTAATCAACCATGTCAGATCACCTGCTGCGCAGAGGGAGTTAATCTGCAGGAGCCCTCCCTGGCGCCCCCCCTGCCCGCCTGCTCGGCTGAGGGCAGCTTTCAGCTCTTCTGTGCAGAAACTGGGGTGGCTCTGAACCGGCTTCTCTCCTCTGCTTCTGAAAGGCCTTACGTCCTCCTCCTTAACATTTTGGAGGGTTATCTTGGTCGTAAAAACAAGAGCATCATAGGCTGGGATGAGTGGTCCCCAGGAGGTAATCCTGCCTTTGCACTGCCCTCCTTTTTGAGGGCTGTAACGAGGTGAGCTGACTACTGTCTATATAGATTGGGCAGCAATCTAAAAACAGCAGATATGTTTTCTTTTGATGCTCTGACCATATTCCTGGAAGGTGTGCGGGAATCTGCTTGAAAATAAAGTTGAGATCAACACAGCTGTTAGGGTAGGCTCGCCCCAGCAGGGCCGGGAGGTACCTCTCTGAGACCAATAATTTCCATCTCAAAAATTGCCCCTGAAAACTCTGCAAGAGTGGCAGCATTTCAACAAAAATTTTGAGTATAATTACATAAATGCTGTCACATTCGGTAGCCAGGAACTGTTAGTTCCTGATTTCCTTTTCTTTGGTCGATCCTTGTTCATTAAAACAAAGCTTGACTTTGTTCTGAGCGGTTGGTGAGAAGCAGAGTATATGTTTATATGTTCACATACACACATTTATATATGTATATATACATATATATGGGGGGGGAGATCAAAATGCACAAGTGTTTTACTCTTGCCAGAATGCTATCTGATGTGAACTTACTTTGCAGGACGGTGTCTGCCTTCTTCAGTTGCATACCACAAAGCCGTGCACAGCCTTTGCATAAAATATACTTGATTTTCTGATCTCTTGCAGCAGCAGCTGACCAATGCTCTCATCTTTCTCTCCTAGGAGGAGCTGGCTCCTGCGGTGCAGGGTCGGAGGTCATCGCTCAGCGGGGTGTGCTACCTGACCATGGGTCTCCTCGTACTGCTCCTGGGCTTGGTCTTTGCATCGATGTATGTGTACAGATACTTCTTCATCACCCAGGTAGGGGTGAGTCAGGAAGGACTGCTGGCTCTTCAACCAGAGCAACCAGACAAGCTGCTTCAAGCTTTGAAAGAGGCAGTGCTGTTATTTGTTGCTTTACACTGTAGTAACTCAGGAGCCAGTCCTCTGGGAGCTGCAGACAAGGCATGTCTTAAGTCGTAGGTTCAGGCTCACCTCCGTCCCAACTGCCAGGAAAGGCTTTCCAGAAATCCTCCTCTTCCCCTCCCTTGTGGCTTTGTTTTCCTGTTTTTTTTTTTGTTTTGTTTTGGTTTTTTTTTTGTTGTTGTTGTTTTGTGTGCTCTGGTTTTTTTTTGTTGGTTTTTGTTTGTTTGTTGTTTTGTTTTGTTTTTCTTTTCTGTTGTTGTTTGTTTTTGGTTTTGTTTTTTTTTAAACTCCATAAAAATACTCTGTCAGTTCTACCTTTTAAACCCAGTGTCACTGCTGTCAGGAGTAAGGCAGTCTGAAAGTGTGACTTGTGTGGGGAGAGCAAGCCCTGGAGAGAGCAGGGAGGTACAGGCAAGGGAAAAGCTTTTTGCAGTAGGTTTTTTAGACCCCAGCATAGCAAGACTCTGTAGGTGTAACAAAAATAGGTGCTGCTATTAATAAAGCAAGTGAGGAAGCGAACAGTAAGTGAGAGATGGAAGGTGAGCACTCGACCTCCATTAAATTCAACATCTTTTCTTCCACACAGTCTTTGCAAAGCCTGGCCTAACAGAGGCATCGCGCTGGCAGTGTTGTGGTGGGTCAGAGCATAGGGAATGAGACAGGTCAGAGCTGCTTTAAGGAGGTAACTGCTGAGCTGAGTGGCTTGCTGAGTGTTTAGCTGAGAAACCCCAGAGCATCGATTTTCACTGAAGCCCTCATTCTGCTGCGGAGCAGCTATTATTGAATGAGTTCTCCCAGGACCGCCTCCGTCTCTGCAGCCAGCACTTATCCACTCAGCAGTATAGTCTTTTTATACACTGTCTTGCTCCATAATTTTTTTTTTGCTGTCAAATTAAATTGCAATCTTTGTTTTAAGATACATCAGTGCTTTATTACCCATGCTCATTTCCACCTGATCTGGAAACGCAGTGACAACCGTAGGGCTGCTCAACCCTCCCACATGCTGCTGTGTTGATGTGATGGCATCCTGCTGCAGGGCTGTTGGTGTAGACATTTCCTTATGAGAAGAAGCCCCCAGCACCGAGGGAGCGTTATCAACCAGGTTATGGGCAGCCAGCCAGTAACCTGGCACATGCTGAAGTGCATTGGGAAATGCCCACTGGTCCATTTGGGGCTACCTGTTGTCATCCCCACTGCCTGACTGTGGTGCCAAATGACAGCTCTTACCCAATTACACAGCAAAATGCCCTCAACATGGCCAGAAAAGCTTTGGAGAGACCAAAGCAACAGGGCCTTTATGTCTCAGTCTCCAATGGCTGCAGTTTGTTCCTGTGATCCTTGTGCTCAAACTTGGTCGCTTACACTGTGTTAGCTCTCTTGCCTGTATCTTGTGCTTCTGGAGCCCTGGAGAGCAGCAGCTCCTGTTTTGCAGTGAGGCAAAGCTGCTTTGTTTTTGTTCATTTGCCATATCCAAACTACTAGTGCCTATAGAAATGATGCTCTGCTCACCACAATCTTACATGCCTTATGGAGAAAAATGGAGTTACTGGGAGCCATGTCTATGGAGGGATGTGAACAGCCTGGTTATGAAATGGAAGAGCCTACAGGCAGTCGTTTTGCCTTTCTGAATTAATCCTTGTGAAATCCCACAGGCAATCCTTTATTTCCTTTGGACCTAGCTAGCAGGAAGGGAGATGTGGTCATTTCACAAGGGTGTTTTGCACTGTCTTCATCAGAAACATTTTTTGGTAAAAAGACTGATGTTGAAATATCTTCAAGCATATTTTTGAAAAGAGTGTTTTTACCTAGTGTGGGTACATTTCTTCACGTGCTTGCTGTAGCTTTTAATGGGGTATGGGGTGTATGAGCGTTGTACCTCCACCTGGATCTCATCCCCACAGCTGCCCCGTGAGAGCGTGTTTCACTGCGGTGTCCTTTACGAAGACTCGCTGTATTCGCCGTTCAAAGGGCAGCTGGAGTTGCACGAAGATGTCAAGATTTACATTGAGGAGAACTATGAGCAAATCAACGTCCCAGTGCCCCAGTTTGGAGGGAGTGACCCTGCGGATATCATCCATGATTTCCAGCGAGTAAGGAGCTCTTGGGGCCTTTGGGGGCGTAGCACAGGGCTGGGCTGGGGTGCACCAACGTGGTGCTTATGGGCTAGCGCTATCGCTGTTGTCACATATGTCTACAATGATCTTGTTACTGAGCTGTCCTCCTTCCCAAGGTCCTCTGTGAGATTTTTTTCCAACATGCTTGGTAGGGACATCCTTGGACAGGTTTGTTGTTTAAAGCAATTTCCTGTCTTCTCTGAATTCCCTGTTTACACCCATTTTCACAGCCACATTTCATTGTGAAGGTCTCAATTCCTTCATTTCTGTGCTTGGAACACAGGGTCTGACAGCTTACCATGACATAACGCTGGATAAATGCTACGTCATCGAGCTGAACACCACTATTGTGATGCCTCCTCGCAACCTGTGGGAGCTTCTAGTTAACGTGAAGGTACAGCTGCAGTCCTGCTTATTTTGCGTGTTCTGCTTGAGTTGACTTGTGGGTTCCAGCTGGAAGCTTGTGAGAAATCAAAACTGCTGTGTCTGTGGAAGTAAGCCTTGGCCCTGACAGAGCTGACTCCTCACGTAGAGTGAAGGCTTCAGCAGGTTTAGCTGAAATATTAGTTTTGCAGGCAGCATGGTAGCACTGGCGTGATGGATCAAACTGACCAGGGTGACACAGAGAAGCAGCATATTGCTTCTCTCTGGTGTTTGTAGGAATCAAGGAAAAGAAGAAAAAAATTCTCTCCTTTCACTCCTGCCATGGTTACTGCTGCGGTTTGCCATTTGCAGAGCTCTGTGTCCCTTGGGCAGTACCAGGCCTTCAGCTTTCACTGTTTTGGGGCTGAAATCTGTGCTGCCTTCCTTGCTATGCTGCAGGCTGCAATACTGGATTTGGGCTCATGCAGTTTTGCTCACAGCTGGCATTAATTGGGTTTAGTACCAGCAGTTTTATTAAGTTCAGAAGCCCGTGCTGCTATTGCAGTGACTGAAAGCAGTCTTCTTAAAATAGAGTACTAGTTAATCTTAACAGCAGGAGAAAAACCTCCAGGATTTTTAAGACTGCAGAAGGTACATATCTATCCTAGTCTTTTGCAGGTATAGCAAAGCACTGAACCTGGGTCTCTTACTCCTTTCTGTGAGGGTCTATTTAAAAGAAAAGAAAAAACCCAAACAATCTAACTCTTTCTTAAATTCCCTTTGCTCACTTGCTGCTACATGCAGTGTGATGAACTTTGTAGGGGTTAAGCTCGGAGGCAAAAGGTTGTGCCTTGAGAGATGCCTGATCTCCAGTCCTTGACAAACTCCCAGTTTGTCACCTAGCAGTCCTCGCAATTTCATGCACTGTGACTGCCTGGCAAATGTGCTGGGAGCCCTGCTGGGGTACAACACACATTTATTTACCACTCGCTCCAAACCAACCACAGCTTATGACAGTGGCAGGTGCCCAGTCCCTGGGGCAGAAGGAAATGGAGAAGGCAGGATTGCACAAACTGGCAGCAGAGCCCCAGAAAAACCCTGAGAGATTAGGAATGCTGGTCACATCCTAAAATAAGAGATATAAAATCACAGTCAATGAAAATGATGCTTTCTCTTCCCCAGAACTGTAATTAAAAAGGGGATAAAAATACAGTTAGAATGATCTTACATGTTTGATTCTTTAAAGAGAATACAAAGCAGATGTAGGTTTAAGTAACTTACCATTGGGATGGGTAAGTGTCTAATCTGTCTGTGGAGGTTTTAACTTGCACCTTAGATACATTGGTTTAGGTGTTTAGCTTGGTCTTGAGCTCAGAAAAGGTTTTTTGCCGTGAGGACAGAAGCGGTGGAACAGGTTGCCCGCGGAGGTTGTGCTGCCTCCTTGAAATCCTTGGAGGTTTTCAAGACCAGGCTGGATGAAGCCCTGAGGAACCTGGTCTGATCTCGTAGCTGCTCCTGCTTTGAGCAGGAGGTGTGACCAGAGACCTCCTGTGGTCCCTCCCGAGCTGAATCATCCTCCGAGCCTGTGATCCTCATGCCCACAGGCGCAGCCTTGCTGGTGGGCTGTGTCAGGCAGAGGGCAGACTTCTCCCCACTGCAGAGGACTTTCGTCCCCTGGTGACTTGGCCCCCCCCGGCTCTGAAGTGCTCCTGTTTAGATGCTGGATGAGCTGCGTTGGTCCTTGGACTTGGAGACTTTTGTCTTGCTCCTCTTGTGCCTCCTTTAGCCTTCTCCGCTCTTCTGAATTCAGTCAAGCCCCTAATGAATGAGACTAGTTTCCAGCCGAAAGGTTAGTTTTGAAGATGTTCAGTGGCTTCAGTCCTGTTTCTAGGACCAAACTTCTGTCCAGCAAATAACGACAGCAGTTTGTGCCAGCAGATTGTGGCAGCACAGGGATTGAGTGAAGCTCCTTTGCCCTTTCCTCCCCAGCCAGCCTGGTGCTGGGGTGCCCCGTCGCAGTGTGGTTGCTGTGTGCCCTGTGCCAGCTCTGCGATCCCTGCCGTGCGCGGCTGTGCCAGACCCCGCTGCCACCACGTACGTGTGTTACCAGGCCTCTTGTGTCTGATTTTTCACCTGTAAATGGCAGCTCTGCTGCTTCTTTCAGACTTTGTTCTGTATAGCTGTAACGGTTTAGTGAACAGGGCTGCATAAGTATCTGAGAGAAAAGGATGGAGGGATGCTGCCCCCGTGCAGCAGCAGGAAGGTGGAGATGACCCATTTAAATGGTGGTCAGTCCACATCTTTTGCAGAACCCAAGATGCTCAATGCTCTAGTTTTAAGAAAACTCTTAGTGGAGAACTGAAGGTATCATGCTTGTTGCACAGTCTTGCAGTGGAGGAGCAATGATTCCTGACTGCTTCAGCTGCCACAAGTATTTGAATCTAAAACAATGAAGAAACTGGATTGTGTGCATGTGTCTCTAAGCTCTGTCTCCATGTCAAGCATATGGCAAATCCAGAGCCCCAGCCCCGGGTGTTAACATGACAGCTCCTACCAGTAGCTGCACAGAGCGCACGCCCTCTCCTGCATGCTCCCACTGAGAATCAATAATTGAATTTCTTGCAGAACTGTTGTGTTAGTGTAGTACAAACTTCCACTAATAGTCTTGTCCTCCAGCATTAGAGGAGAGCTTTATCGATCCAGTAGGCTGTGCCAGCCCAACAGCACAACTCTAAGTTAAGGCAGCATGTTTCCAGGTACATCTCTATGGAGATAACCAGTCCTGTCGTGGAAATTGAAGAGGTGATATTTGAAATTGTGCCATTCTTGGTTGCTTTCCTCCTTGATTATATTGGCCCCAGGATCTTCTGGTTCTTTTAATTTTTTTGACTCTTAAGCAAAAAGGACTAGAAGTGAGTCTTTGCTTCATAGCCTGGTTAGCAGCCAGTCTGCTCATAAGTGCCCCCCAGCCCAAGCTGTACTTGTAACACAGCTGCTTCTTGCTGCAGCAGTGCCCAGGCAGCTGCGAGATGCCCTGAGCATCCAGGGATCCGCTTGCAGAGACTCCTCATTGCCGAGAAGGTCTCTTTCCTGCAGGGAAAGTCTGCCCCCATCCCTGGGGTGCTCCCAGGTCCCCCATTTTCTCTCTCCCTGTCTTCTTCAGCCCCTGGTGGCTTTCTGCCATGTCCCCCCACCAGGCACTCCACTCATCACCCTGGTCTTCATAGCAGCCTCCACCCCTGCAGCAGGGAGTTTGCTTGTGCTGCTTTGCCTCAGCTCAGTCCCTGGTGTCAGCTGCCTTCCTGCACTGCAGTAGAGTTGCAGGACGATGTCCCTGGGGTGATGGAGGCGTGAGGAGAGTTCGCTTTCTCCTGATACCCACCACTACTGTTCAAGGCAGTGTTTATAAATGTGGTGCCCGTGGCCCATCTCTGGTCCCTGTTCCTGTGGGCTGTAAGCGCAGGAGATTATTGTGGCTGTGTGGAATGGACCAAGGAGGAGGGGGAAATGTGGGAAACTGTTGGAAGCTGAGCAGGGCTGGCATTTTGGGGTTTTGCCTTTTGAGGTAAATGGAAAATGCATATTTTCAGTGGAGCTCCTGGCATTTTGATTGAGCCTTGATCCCTGTCCAGGTGGGTTAATTGTGCTCTCAGAGTTACAGCTTTGTGCGCCCTCCTTTAAAACTGGGGTTAGTTTATAACAGGGTTGATCCTATGCTGGCTTCATCTAGTATGTGAGTATTCAATATTTGGATCAAATCTGTTTTGCGTGTCCTGTGCTAGTAGCATGGGACAGTTTATGGTAAGGACAGGGAAGCACATTAACCAGCCTCGCCTCAGTAACTGGAGTTTGAGGCTTCGAACAGTGAATTTTCCACAGTTTGGCTTCCTTGGTGCTCTGTGTAGGACAGTCCTGTTTGAGGAGGAGATCACGGCACCCGGTGCTTTATTTTGGTGGAAACTGTGTCATTTCAGAAAGGGACATACCTGCCTCAGACATACATAATCCAAGAGGAGATGATCGCGACCGAGCACGTCAGTGACATGGAGCAGCTCGGCTCCTTCATCTACCGCCTCTGCAGCGGCAAGGAGACCTACAGGCTGAAGCGGAGGAGCGCAAGGAGACGTGAGAGCCTTGCTGTGTTCAGCTGTCCTAACACGCTTTCCCCCCACATCACAGTTGTTATTTTTCCCATTGCAGCCATGCTGGCCTCTTCCTGGCATGAGTGGAGGTTTCCCTGTGGGTGTAAGCACACAGGAGATCTTTTGTGGTGTTTCTCGTCTAATTCATCTCAACCCAAATCTGTGATGATGCTGCTGCAAATGGGTGTTGGCTGCTGTGTTGCTATCGTCTATGAGCCTAATAGAAACGTCGAGAAAATGGTTGTGGGAGCCAACATGGGGACTCCTGGGGCTAAACTAATAGCAGTGCTGTTGGGAACTGTTTGGAAAATTTCCCTAATGGAGACACCCACTTCAGCGGCAGCTATTCAGAACAGATTAGATCTGCAAATTGCCCTTAATGAATTAAGTTCCTAATGATACGGAAAAAAGTTGTGAAGAGGGATCATTGGACTACCTTAAAATGATTTAGAGAAAATCAGCAATATATATCTTATATAGAAATAGTAATATCGCTGCAAAAAAAACCTCCTTAATTTCAGTATTCGTCTTTATTTGTTTTTTAGATACTGGAGTATTTAAAGGCTCACCTGAAGCATGAACCTGTAGTCAGTTTGGGTTTGGACCTGTGGGCAAGCTGCAGGGTGCAGAGAGTGTTCAGGTGCAGAAGTCACCGTGGCTGTAGTTCGCGGCTGCTTTCCCGACGGGAGCTGCGCAGTTGTGCACAGGGCTGCTGGCACACGGGCGGCTGCTTTCGCGGAGCCCTGGCACGGCCTCTGTCAGCAGGGCACCACCGGCTTTGCTGTAAGAGGGGAGGAGCTGCCTGGAGGAGCTGCCCAGAGTTGAGGTCCTGCAGTTTAAGGGCATGGGGGGTGTCACTTGTTTCCCAGAGAGTCTGAGCCCATAGCAGGATCAGTGTGTGTGGGGATACAAACAGCCAGAGGTGGCTCTTTCAAGCCCTTCTTGGCTGCATTCAGAGCTGTGCCCTGTACCAGCCTGGGTCTTCTGCCATTTTCATGAGGTTTTCTGGTCTCTCAGGTAACACTGAGGTGCTGTCAGCTGAAACAAGCTGTTTCCAGGTGGCTCCCCCAGCTCATGGCAGCTCTTTACTGCAGGACCATGGCCTTAGAGAATATGGTTGTTCTTCCAAAGACTGGATTATGCTGCTTTTCATATAGGCTGTGTTGTTCCTGCATTTCAGTGTTCTGCGGTTGGATCTCATTTGCTCTCCTTCCCCCACTTGCTGCAGCTCTTCTAGATTATAATTTGTTGAATTTTTCTCTCTCCTCTCTTTCAATCACTTCTAGGTATCAGTCGACGTGAGGCTGGAAACTGTCATCGTATTCGTCACTTTGAAAACACTTTTGTGGTCGAAACTGTTATCTGCAAAAAGTCCTGAAGCCACTCTCCAGATGTAACCTTCCTTGGCTTTGCTTGCATACACGTGCACACACATGCTGTCAGCCCTCTCTTTAGACATGGTAATCTGTCTTACTTTTTTTACTTCCTCCCTTGCTTGTGCAGCTCTAACCTCTTGGGTCCATTGTAGCCTGACAGTGGATTCTCTTCTCTCCCTGCTACCTACCTGAGACATTTGCTGGGCTTAAATTTACACAGTGGTTAAAGATAACCTGGGAGTAGATGCAGCTTCTTCCACACCACAGGATGTGAGTCTTTTGTTGGGAGCAGGTTTGGGACAGAAGGGATGGCCAAGAAATAGGAGTGCTAGAAATAGGTGCTCCTTTCCTGGCTGAGCAATTTCAGGCCAGTATAGTGCTTTAAAAGCTTCCATGGCACTGGGACAGAAGGTGTATACACAAGAGGAGGGTTATCATTTTAATGCTGATATAATGACCAGAAATACATAACCAGATGCACTTATGAAACGAATGATTGTGAGGCTACAGAGAGGTTGATTTAGGAAGCTCAGCAGAGGGACGGTTTCTGCCCTGACCATGCTGTGGTGACCCCAGCTTGTTGTTTGCTGTCCCCGCAAAGACCAGATTTTCAAACATCAAAAGCAACCGCTATGTGCTGGTTTTATGTCTGGCTCCTGGGCTCAGCCCTCACCACGTCTGCTCCTGAACGCGGCATGGCTCGGCGTGACCCGCTGAGCAGTGCAGGGTGTCCCGATGGGTGTTCGGGGGGGCAGGAGGGCTGGGCAAGGGGCAGTGAGCTGGGCTGGGAATGACATGAATGGCACAGCATGTCCCTGCTCCCCGGCCACAAAGCAGAGGGTGAAGTGCAGGACGGTGTAGCCCTCTCTCTAACACACAGCTGGAGCTGCTGTGGATCCTGGGCAGGTCTGCTGTCACTTTGCCTAAGTAAATAAAGGGGTGAATCTTTGATGCAAGGTGCCACAGTTCCACTGATGTCCCATCTATAGGGAGCGGAGGTGGGTGGTTTGCTCCAGCCATGTGTCTGTCCTGGCCAGCTCTACTTGCTTGGGAAGATGAGTTATGTTCACATGGGTCTGTCTTCCTGAGTTGTCGAGAACCCATCTGTGTGCTGATGGGATGCTGTGCCTACATACAAAGTGATGCCAGGAGCAGAACTGCTAGTTATTGGCAAGTGCAGAGGCAGATTTTTTTTTTTTTTTTTAACAGAGTGCGTATTCTTGTATAACTCCTCTGATGAGAGCTGTTTTGAGAATAATTACTGTAGTCCAGTCATGTATCACATTATCTGCAGGCACTGTTGTAATACAGATATTGATACAAGGCAAGATTCGGCTGATCAATATACTGCAGAGAAATTGTGTGAACGAAACTGCATTTCTGTTGATCATCAGACAGAAGAATTGCAGAGTAATTAAATATACTTTCCTCTGTTCCATAAATATAGTTAAAACTAATTAGGTTCTTGAAATGCAGGAAGTTTTCTGGCTTGAAACAATGGGGTGAGTTTCAACTTGGCATGTTCTTGTTAATTGGTTTCCAGCAAATCTGGACTTGTTCACCATCTGTTGAAATTAGCTCGTTGTTTTAGGAGAGGAAGGATAAAGTAAATGCAAGTACAATCATTAACTCAGCAGAACCAAAAAAAAAGTGAATCTATTTTACAATAAAACTTTTAAGTATTAATACTGTGAGTTAATTATGTGAAAACAAAACAGGATCTCAGAATGGTTATATAATGCACTAGGAATTAATATGTCCTTAGAGGCTGAAAATTTATTTTTCTTACATAAGCATAGTCAACTATAAACATGAAGTTTTAACAAGTAGAGGAGGTCACTTTGGTTTCATTCTGCTTTAAGCTTGATGTAAAATGTGCACTTCACGCAGGTTGGTAAGAAAATTTCCCACTGCCAGAGGGGTATGTGCTTTTCTAGCACTGTGATTTCCAACAATAACTTGCTGCTAGCCTTAACTTTTCACTGTGGAGCAGATGACAAGAAGTGGGTCAGGGAATTGGTTGGCTTAATGGAAGTACCTCGAATTGGTAAATTTAAGCCCTGCATTTCTCTTAATTTCTAGGAAGCTAAGCCTGCACTCAGTTGAGCATACAGACCTTTTTCCCTTTCCTTCTGATTCTGCATGAATTAATTGGTCATTGAATATGCTAACTCTGTGCAATCCTGCAGCTGTAAGGACAAACCTTGGTACTTTAGGGTGAACTAATGTGGTCACTGTTTCGTAGGATGAGAATGCAGTTGTCTAGAAAGAAAACATAAGATGCTTTGTATATTTTGTCTGGTAGGACTCTTACTACTTAGGAAATATCCATGGGATAATAAAATCTTTTACCTCTGACATGTCAAGTGTGTGTTTGTTCAGAATGAAAAGCACACGCCCTCCATGAAGCTGTCGCTCGTGGGAGGCAGCAGCCAGATTGCTGGGCTGGCCCGGCAGCGCCTTGGAGCCGGGCAGTGGGAGGATGCTGCAGTGTTGGAGGCCCTTCCCCACGGTGATGGGAGCTGTGTGGGGACGTGGCTGAGCAGCCTGCTGTGGAGCCTGGCCATGCCTGCAGGGCTTCTCCCCTGTCCTTGCACTTCCCTGGGAGACCCAAGGGCAGCCCCCGTGGTGGGGAGGTCGCTGCCAAACAGGTCCCTGAAGCAGCAAGATACCTCTGCTGCTTGCATGGCTAGTGGGTGTCTGATCGTCACGCTCAGCCTTGTTTCTCCAGCTGCCTGACTTACACATAGAAATTTGTCTGTGTGTGGCCAAACCCTGCTGTTGCCTTCTGGCTGGCACTGCAGGGCAGGCCTTCAGAGGACTTCCCTCCTCTCCTTGCTGCATGTAGCAGCGCGTGTCCCTTAGTGCTCTCCTGAGCTTTCTCTCCCCTTCTTTCATCCTTCTTGCAGGGAAGTGTCAGAATATTGTTCCTGAACTCAACTGTTCCTCTTTCCACAATTAGTTTCTGGTCAATCAGTGAGGAAGTTCACATTTTGCTTGTTACAGTCATTTTTGCTGCATTTTGCATTTACCTTTTCAGTATCTGGATACTTTTTTCATTATTAGGGCTCTGCAGAAGAGAGCTGCATCTTTTGGTAATTATGTTTGCCAAAGCCTCTTCTTCTGGGCTGGCCCAGCCAGCTCAGCCTGATGGCCCTTGCCTGCCTTCAGCACTGGGCTGAGGAAGCAACTCTGCACCACCCATGGGGAACCTGACCCTTTCAGACATGTTCACCTTTTGAAGGCTGAAATGCTGATATTAAGAACATGACTGATGCATTTCGGTAAATCTAGTTACCAGTAAGTCATCCCTCGTGAGACTTGTCCGCTGCAAAGAAAATCAGGTTGTATTGTGAAAGTTTGCATTTTCTTTTGAACATTCACTCTTGGTTCAGTTTTTCATTTCCTGAGGTTGTGTTCATTGCCCCTTGCTCTTAGGAGACTTGAAATAAATCAATTCTGCTTCCTAATCTTGCTTGCACTCTGGCAGAAGGTTGCTTTATTTGATTGAACAGTGGCACATATAAAAGCTTGTCAATAAAGCCTGCTTGAGGACAACTCTGTGGCAGAGATGCAGTTGAAACCCTAAGATATGGGTCACCGTGATAGCAGCTAGCATCTAATATAATTTACCTTTTAATAGCTGCATATTGTAGTAAGGCTCCGTGGTAGTTGTTTAGCTTTGCCAGGCAGTGCTCAGCAAGTCAATGTTTTGGCTTAACCAGGAGCATCCACTTCCAGGCTCTGGTGGATTTTTAAAACATTAAAAAACCTGTTAATTTAGCAGTTGAGAGGAGGGACTTCAATGTCTCTTCTAAACCATAAATGAGCTCTTTACTTGTTGCAAGTCTTTTACAGCTACATTTACAGTACACTCCCATCCCGTGAAATACAGCCTGTTGGGATTTCTGCAGCCTTGGGATGAGGAACGTTTTGGCCACGATGGACCACATAGTCTTTGCCCAAGATGCTGAAGGACCTGTTTTTTTCACCAGCACGATGAGGAGCCTGTTTTTGGTGGGGGGAATGGCTGCATCTTGATGACAGTCACGCATGCTTCTGGGCAGGTGGCAGGAGGGCTGCTCGGTCCCCCGGGAAGGGGCAGCGAAGCGTGGGCATGGGCCGTGGGCGCACTAGTCTGCCAGCCTGGTGATGCCACGAGGCCCGGGAAGCTCTGTGCTCGCAGGCAACCCCCGCAGCAGCTCTGCCGGGGGTCGGCTGCTCGCTGCCCGCATGGACGTGGGGTGCCCTGGCCCTCAGGGTGTGCTTGGGTGTCCAAAGGGCCATGCTGCGCTCGGTGGCTTGGTACGGGCAGCAGGAAGCTGCTCTCCACAAATCGCCTTTTGGTTTGGGGGATGAAGAGGGATTGTTGGGTCAGTTATGCTGTGAAGAATTAAAATCTCCATCGGGTGTTACCTGTGAAATGGCTCCCTGGTGTACATGTCTGAAAACTGAGCAGTCCCCATTTTATTACAGTTTATAGGACATTCAGTTGTCCTTACTGGGAATTGACTACAGCCCATTTAGCTCAACATGAACTGTTGTCTGATACGTTGATGCCGAGCTAATGAAAGCCTGTTATCACTCTTATACATACGTAAGTATGTGCCTTAGGATGTACATTTTGTTTCCGAGCATTTTGCTGCTGCTGAATTCCAGTGAGGACATCATAAAAGTAAGTACTGTGGATGCTGTCACAGCTTCCCAGAAAAAAAAGGGTGTGTTTGGGCAGCTATATAATCTAACAAAAATAGCTTCCCAAGTTAGTATCTCAGGTAAATGCTCATTTCTTGTCCTTTTGGTAAGTACAGCTCTTGATGAGAGCATTCATGTCCCAGTGAAATCAATGAGGTGCTGCAGCTCCATTGGAGGGAGAACAGAAAGAGGACTTTGCGGGGAGAGAGTCGCTCGCAAATACAGGTTGAGCTTTAGTGAATATTTTCAGCCGAAAAAAAATATAGCATAAAAAGGTGAGTGGAAATAACTTCCTGATGTGAAGCTGAAGCATTTTTTTTAATATATTAGTAACTGAGTTACTGGTTCTTGCTTTGAATCAATTTTTATCTAAAAACGCTGAATTAAAATGGTCAAGTAACATGGGAATAAAAGAAACTGTTCATTTTGTGTTAAAGATTTATGTTGACCAAAATGTCAACAAAATATGACCTTTTTTGTGTGCTGGAGAAACTTGAGATACAGAACTTAATTTTGGTTTGATCTGAATCTTTTTTTTTTTTCTTTAAAAATTTGCTTCATACCCCAACAGGAAAAGTCCCTTATTTTCTATCCAGTATCCAGCCTTATTTGCCAGCAGAGCCCAATGAGACTTAACAGGAAACTGGAACTTGAAGTGACATTTGGATCATCCAACTTGTCATACTGAAATTGGGAGCCTTTGCTTCCTAGAGAGTAAGGACATCTCTAGAGGAAGATTTTGAGTGCTCAGTTTAGGAGGTTCTGCATACCTTAGTCTCCAAAGTTAGACAATGTGAATACACTCACGTGTCAGATATTTTTAATGACTAGTATTTTTTAAAACAAGACTGCCTTTAGGACAGGGTGATACTGCCTGTTGCTTTTCCTGACTGCTGTGTACATGACCCCCTGTACATTGGATACGTCTGCTTCTCTCTATGAGGACTAGATTTGCTTACTGTGAAATGCAGCTGGCTCTAACCTGCTGTGTCTGCAGGTAAGGAGGTAAGTGCTGAGCAGAAATACCAGTTGGGTGTCCCTGCGTGCTGGCTTGTGGCTGCTGCTTTCAGCCTCTGTTGTGTTCATTTAGGTTGGAGCCGCCTCCATAGCAGCTTCAGCTGATCACAAAGTGACCTTCCCCATCCCCACAGTCTCCTTTCATATCGTCCCTTTTCCACGGGTTCCTCACAGCTCCCAGGTGGGTCTCATGGCGCAGAGCTCCCCCAGCAAGGTGGCACGTGCCCCATCGCAGGGGATGGTCCTCAGGAGGCATCTCCTTACAAAACGCCTGCAGACGAGAGCGGTGCAGCACAGCCCAGAGCCTCAGCCCCTGCCCTCCGCCCATCCATCCATCACTGGGCTGGGACTAAAGGCCTGCTGGAGGCAAGGGGAGGATACTGCAGAGATGACACAACAAGCAAGGCAGCATTGCAACTGGGACTGATGATAGAGGCTTAGACACGTCTTCTGTAGGCAGGTCACGTCAGAGGACAGGCTGGAGCTGCGTGCGTTCGGCAAGCAGGACTGCTTGACAATTACCGGGGCTTTAACTCCTTCACTCTTGCTAAAATCATAAAAGAAATGGGTGGGTTAAAGAGTCAAGAGTCAGCTGTTTCCTTAAATTTGCTGAGAATATTTGCTCTGGGAATGTTATTATTCATAGTGAATGTGGAAGGTGTTTGTGCCAGCTCTAATTAACTGTTCTCACTAGCACAAAGATGTTCTCCAGTGGAAGCCAGTATGTTATTCTATTCATTTGGATTAATTCATGTGAAAAGGCCAAGTGTGTAATTTCATACTTGAGTTTTTAGATCTGTATTTGAATTTAATTGAAATCATGTTATGCAACAATTGAAATATTCTTGTATTCTGACCAGGAAAAGAAGTTTCAAAAAAGATGATGAGTTAACGTTGCTGAAAGCATCTCAAAATTTGTCACCTTTCAAAGAGATTTCTCTAGGATGCTATTCTGTTCCCCCATTTGTTATTTATGGAGCAACTTGTTCTCAGTAAAGTAACAGTAAAGACACTGGATCAGGCCCTAACTCATTTCTCACTCTCTTCAGTTGGTGATTTTGTGCTTGCCACTGCTAGAACAACAGTTAGACCTCATCAGCTGCTCTCCAGAAATAGTTGCATGTTAAAACGTAAAGCAGCAGCTATAAGCTTACTTGCTTTGGCACTGTGGGTACATGGGATTGCCTTCTGAAAACGCCCTTATGTCAGCAGTGTTGTCAGAGCGTTGCCCTCTGCAAAGTGTGCAGAGTTTTTGGGGGTGCAGCCCACCACCGGCCCCCAGGTACCTTCTCCTGCAGTGTGGCTGGGGCCAACAGTACCAAGGAGGCCTGAGAAGCTCCTGTGGGTGAGTGGGCAGTCACTTAGCAATGCACATCATTAAGAAATTTGGCAAGCTGGATTTGCAAAATGAAAGAAAATTGCAGCTCAGTGTGTGTGAATATATAGCAGCCTTTGTGGTAATTATACCAGCAGCACCATGTTAATGGTCTCTGTGAAGGAGTATTGGAAAATACAGACCAATAGAGTTACCCTCTAGAGAAAGGTTTGGACCTGACACAGCTGTGGCTTTGGGTTTGAGTACTGAAAGTAGCAACTTCAGGCAGCATTTTGTATGACTTTGCTGAGATCAGTTTGGTCTCCACATG